GGGAGAAGATGCAAGTCGAGCCTGTGCTCTCTGCTGGAGCTGAAGGCTGTCTAAGTGTGCTTTTGGAAGGATGTTGCGCTGGGAGTGTCTGCTTTGGGTGCATCACAGTAGAAAGCTGAGGATGAAGACCCTGCCTGACACAGGACATGATTCCTCTGGTGGCATCAGTAATATAGTAAATATGGCCCACTTCCTTCAGCCCTCAAGCTGAAAATGGTTTCTATAGTTTTTTTAATGATTGAAAAAAAGCAAAAGAATATTTTGTGACATGTGAAGACTATGTGAAATTTGAATTTTGGTGTCTACAGATAATGGATTAATGGGACATAACCACACTAATTTATTTACCTACTGTTCATAGCTGATGGTAGAGATGAGTAGGCCTGACAGGGGCCGGATGGTCCATGAAGCCTGAAGTATATATCATCTGGCCCCTTACAGAAAAAGTTAGCCAAGCTCTGGTGTAGGGCATGGGCTCTGGATCCAGCTGCATAGATTTAAATTCTGGCTACCTGTTGAGCTGAGTGACTTTAAGCAAGCTGCTTGCTTCATGCCTCAGCTTCCGCATCTTTTAAATGAGGATTATAATAGTAGCTGCCTTGCAGGCCTGTTTGGAGGAATAACTTAGTAAATAATCTGTAAAGTGCTGAATCCTAACAACAAATGTTAGCTTATTATTATTTAATAATGCTAGAGCTTCTCAATCACTCTGTGATTGTAACTTCCTTTTTAACATGAAGATTATGAAAGCATTCTAGAGGGTTACTGGGTGGGTGAAACTTGATCCTTGGGTGTGCAGTTCCCAACATACCTCCTGTTCTGCAGATGGAGCCCTGCGTAACACTTCCCTGATATTTCCAAGCATTGGAAAGACATTTTTTATGACTCCAGCAACTCATGGGCAAAAGCATCTGCTGGCACAGTTGATTCTCCTCTCCCTTGCTCCTGGCCAGGTGTAGAGCAGCCAAGAGCAGTGCTGTCTTGCAGTAGGAGCAGTCTTAAGTCCTGCACCTATTGCTGTTTTTCTGGCCCCCCAGGGCTGTGTTTATGGCTCAGTGAAGGGTGTCTCAGGGCAGCTACAGACAGTATGGAAGGCCCTCCTACTGCTCCCAACCCCACTTTGGAGGCAAAAATGTAGAACAGGAAGAATGAGTAAAAGTTTCCTGATGTCATGCCTATTAGAAGGGAACAATTTTTGAGGGAATAAAAAATTGTGATAACCCTGGCTGTTTGTATCAGTTGTTTGGAGCATCCTCCCATACACCATAATGTTGAGAGTTCGATTCCCAGTGAGGGCACATAGCTAGGTTGTGGTTCAATCCCCTGTCATGACCTGTGTGGGAGGAAACAGATCTATGTTTTTCTCGCACATCAGTGTTTCTCTTTCTCTCTTTCTCTGTCTCTCCCCCCCCCCCACACCCTTTCCTTTGTCTCTAAAACCAATAAATATATCCTCGGGTGAAGATTAAAAATTTTTTAAAAAATTTTTAAAATTGTGCTAGATCATATTGCTCTAATAGGCATTTTCTTACATTGTGTTTAATCTGCCTTGGTTTTTATCTCTTGAGGGAAAGAATGAGGAAAAGATAAAAATTATTATATCCCCTAGGGAAGGAGTACTAAAATCTATTAAATTAAAGCCTACATTAAAAATGAAATTGCATGGAGTGCTTTATTCCCCTTTGTAATTCAAACACAAGGGATATTTTAAATTCTGGATCAATTTTTTAATGAAAAACTATGACCTCCATGCCTTTCTTAATTCTCCCTTTCCTCCTACCTCTCCCTTCTTTTTTTTCTTCCCTTGTTTTCTCCCTTCCTTATCCTCTGAAAAGATGAATAAAAAACATTGGATAAAAGTTAATACTGATTCATGATAAAAATTCAAAGCAAACTTAACGTAAAAGGGAACTCTACTTGAAAAAGGGTGTCTTGTCCATACCCTCAAGAAACATAATACTTAAGGATGAAATCATCATACTTTAGATTCAGAAATTAGACTAGTGTACCCAATATCTCAGCTTGTAATCAACAATATACAGGGGGTCCTAGCCAGCAAAATAAGACAAGAAAAACAAAAACTCTGTAAGTTCTAGAGAAAATGCAACAGAACTGATGTTATTCAGAAAATGCTACCTATACAAAACTTGCAATGCCTTTTACTTCTTCTTCTTCTTTTTTTTTTAAGCTTTAGTGAGATGTCCTTCTGTTCTGTCTTAAAATTGCACCATGGGGGTTATGTCTGCACTTGAAACAGGACACCTTGTTCCTGGGTTTGGCATTGACCTTGCCCAGCTTGGTCTGGCAGCTGAGTTGTTGGACTAGGAAGCCTCTGCAGGTTGTATTCTGTCATCTCTCTGTAAAGCCTGGAAGCAACCCTGGTACTGCATTTGCTAGTTCTGAGTAGAGCTATTTAACTAGAATCTGGAAACATTCTCCCTGAGGGTTCTTTTTAGACAGCAGTAAAATGTAGCTGGAGACATACTGAGTAAATGGAAAAGAAAAATCAAATTATGCCAAGATTTTTTTTTTAATCTTATATTCTCACTGAAACCCTCAATGAGAACACCATAATCCATACTTCACTCATGTGGGTCAGGCATAAAACCTCCTTCATAGATCCAGTAACCTGTAAATGTTCTGGTTTTGAAACTGCACCTGCCCAGTTTGTGGGATCACAGCACTAAATCACACAACAATAGTTTCTAGCTCAATTGTTACTTGGGAATGTCAGATTGCCAGAGAGCAGCCTGCTGTTTACTGGTCAGTGCCTTAGGAAAGCAGTTTCAATGACAATGTCATGTAGCAACACTGCACAAACTGCACAACCTGCAGGGGAGCTGGCATTTGCATCATGCATATACATTTTGTGGCTGTGCAGAAAACGCCCATCTGCCTGGGTCATGTAAAATGGAAAGCAAAGTCAGCAGAACCTTAGAAAAGATGACATAGCAGGTGGAACAGAGCTGAATCTTCTCCTATCCTGCCAAGTGTGCAGTGTTCCCTGCCCCCATTTTAAAGCAAAAGAACTCAGTTGGCATTTGCCTTTCAATCTCCCCATTCTGATACAGACTCTGTGACCCATCGGCTTTAATCATTAAAGATACAGAGACCCAGGAGTTTCCGGGCATGAGGTGCATGCAGGATTATTTGAGACCAAGTCCTGCCTGCCCCTCTCAAGGAATCTCCCCTGTCACTTGCTGCAGTGCAGTTCATGCCACCAAAAGTGGTGATATCACAACACTGGCATTTCCGGTCCAAGGCAGGAGCCATTTAGAGAAATTCAGGGGACGCTGAAGAGTGTGTGCACACACGTGTGTGTGTGTGTGTGTGTGTGTGTGTGTGTGTGTGTGTGTGGATTCATTATGCCAGTGATGCAACTCTGACGTAAAACATATTTTTAAAGTCCTCCTCTGGGAACAGATGCTCAGGAGCCAGGAATTGAACAGAGAGCATCCTGAAGGGCACCATCACCTGGAGGAAGCAGCTGGGCTATTGGATCTTTCTCTCAAATACTTCAAAAATTAGAATGTGATGTCTCTCATGTTGAGAGATTCATCTTTTGCATTTTGGAACTGAGCCTTCCCAATATTTAGAGAGTTTCCTGATATCTGTTCAACTCAGCAAGCCAGGATGCTAGAGAGGTAACCGGCAGCCTGGATTTATTCTCTGTCTTGGAAAAGTATTTTACTGCTTTGTGTGAAGTCACTCCTGGCCACATTGTGGGATTGTTTTTGCACTTTCCTTTTAGTCTTTTAATTTTTCTATTTAAATGCCAGGAAAATTGGGTGTGTTTCAAAGAAGGCTTCTGATTTCTGAGGCTGGCAAGGGCATAAAATGACATGAGAGTTTGTTGGCAGAATTCCAAAACCAGGCAAAATTTTCCCAAGCACCTACTATGTTCAAAACACCTTGCAGGGATATCCTGGAGAATCTGCAGTTCTGGCTTAATCCTTGAAACTTTGAAAGAGAGCAATGGCTGAAAAAGAAAGATGAGCATCTTGAGAATCCCTCTGGAAATGATTGAGGTTCACCACAATTTTTTTCACATTACGTTTGGCTTTTTCCATTAAAATTTGGTGTCTTCATGTGCTGTCCAGCATCTACTGCAGGTCGAATGGAGCTTAGGAAGACAAGGGTAACTGTTCTCTTTGTCCTTGTAAGATGTTTTGTCTGTCATCTCTGTCTTCCAGCCTGTTGTTTTATTTATGTAATTCTCGTATGCGAAGTCACTGGAATGGATAGGCTCCCTCTCATCCATCAGCTTGGTTTGGGGAGACTTGCAGTTTTGCAAATGTTTCATGTGGAGGTGATTTTCAAAACTTGTGGCTATATGTGGTATAAAAACCAATACCCAGGTAGGGTTTTCTCTTGGTGCATTTTCTTTTGCTGTCTGGTTGTTCTTTATAAGTATTAAAGTGCACATTTCAAATATACTGAAGATGTAAAAATGATTTCTTAAGTGCCCAGTAACAGAAGGACATCTTTACAATTTTTTTAAAATTAGTTAACTAAAAGATTCTTTGTACTTTAGAAAATAAATTTGATGCTTTTAGACAAGATGGAGAAAAGGTTTTTCAGAACAAGAAACCAGAATACATCAAAGACAGATGCCTGACAAGGTCATTGAATGGGAAACCTGAGGCAGCTTTTCTCTACAGGAGGGGTTGAGAGGAATGATTTTACTGAGTGGAAGCTTCCAAGTTAAAAGCTGGCAGATGTAGAGAGTGAGAGTAGGGAGCAGATCTGGGCCCACTTGCTGTCCACTCAGAGGCTGTTTCTGTTGACATCTCCCTGTCATTTCTCCTTCCCTGGCTCCCAAGCCAGGTCATCTCCGTACAGCTGGAATGAAATAGGCACCTTCATATGAAAATGAGATGGTTACACTTCATAGATCAGTGTGCAGCCAGCAGCTCATGGAGTGGGACAAGACTTTGTGGTGTAGCTATGTTTTCTTTGTAGCTGACCTTGACATTTGCCTTTTTTTTTTAATCCTACAGGAGCCTAGTAATAAACGGGTCAAACCCCTTTCCAGGGTCACATCACTAGCAAACCTCATCCCACCTGTGAAGGCTACACCATTAAAGCGCTTCAGTCAAACTCTACAGGTAAGAAGGGCACAGTGGGTTCATGTTTGCCAAAAAACATGTTGTGAAGGAGGGGCATTTTCTGTCTTACCAAGAATGTTCCCTGGTTTCAGATCGACCTGAATCACAGTTTATTTCAATAGAAAGGAGCAAGGGAGGGGACTAAAAGGAAGAAAGAGGTATTTTCAATTTGTCAATGGGGGTTAGGTGATGTCCTTTGAGAGAGGGGTGACTCGAGGAGTCATCTCTGTCCAGTCTTTTCTCACAATTGTATTTCCAAGTCGTACGTGCCCCAATCGGATCTGCTCTCGAAGGTTTTGTCCTAAAGTATCTATGGGCCTTTTTAAGGAAACCAGCATATCATGTGAGCCGGAGGGCAAGAGGGCCTCATGGGTTAGGTCAGGATCTGCAAATTATAGCAAATGGAAAAAAATTCAGCCCACCTTCTCTCTTTTTATGGCCCGCAAGCCAGGAATGGTTTTTACTTTTTTGAATAGCTGGAAAAAAGCCAAAGAGGAATGATATTTCATGGCACATGAAAACTGTATGAAATTCAAATTTCAGTGTCCATAAATAAAGTTTTATTGGAACACAGGAATGCCCAAATGTTTCTGTTTTCTGTGGCTGCTTTTGCACTAGATGACAGAGTCAAGCAGTTGTGACAGAGACCATATTGCCTACAAGGCCAAAAATATTTGCTTTCTGGTGTTTTGCAGAAAATGTTTGCTGACCTTTGGCTTAGAACAGGGGCCCTGGAAATCAAGTATCTCAGTTCTGACCTAGGCTCTGTCACTCAAAGACTCTGTCACCTTGGGCAGATGCCTTAACATCTTTAGGTCTTGCTTTTATTCCTAATGGGTAAACTGGGGGTGGTGCCACCAGCTCCCTTATAGAATCAGTGTGAAGATTAACAAGATAGTGCATTTAAAGGGCTTAGTATAGTGCCTTGGGCCTCAGTTAGCAATTACTAATTTACTAATTAGTTAGCTAACTAGTAAATATTATGTCCTGTAATGATCCTTTGGTTAACAAGTGGTGGCAGTTGTCCTTGTTCTTATTGAAATTTGTCTAAGGCCATGCACCCAATTTGATACTCATATAAGTCTTGTAGAGAGCCCACAAAAGTCATGCCGTGAAAAGGCTCACCTTGTTTAGCTGAGAAGTAGACCGGAGTCTGCCATTTCTCACTTGTTCTGAATACTTTTCTTTGTAGTATTTTTATCCTGACTTCGTGATTCATTAAGAAAATTGTGGATTGGAACCCAAGGCTTGTCCCATGCTATGACAATCCATGACTTGAGAACTGTTTGAGTCTACTTAATCCCCTCCTGCTGTTGCTTCCACACTGTTCAGCCAATGTGCTGTGACTCTGCTTAGCACAAGCTGTTCTCACCACGCCACTTTCCTGTAGATGCCGTCCCTATCCGGTGCTTATGCCCTGCTGTGCCCATTCCTCTGTTAACTCTGCTAACAGCTTCTCCTGAATGAATACCTCCTCACATAATTAGCTATACGTTTGGCTCTGTTTCTCTCAGTGCTTGGGCCTCTGGGGCCCTGGATAGTCCCTGATCACCTTTGTGAGAGAACACAGGAAAAAAAAAATAAGGTTGTCTAGGGGAGCCAGATGAAGGGCTTTGAAGCTAGTGGAGAAAAATGTGTTTACCTTCTCTCCCCCGTGACCATCCCTCAGCCCTCTGGCCAAGTTCATTGCTTACTTCCCCTGGAAGATTCATCACCGCCCTAGTCCTGCACATCTGGTCTTTCGCTGAGTTCTGCTTTTTGAAAATTCTTTAGCTTGTCTACTGCTATTTCACCCTTTCCTTTCCATCCCAGTGGCTGTAGCTGTAGCTCAGATCATTTACTCTGTAGTTATTTCCCACCTTGATTTTGAGACCTCTGTGTTGCCAGCCATCTCTTGCCATAATCTCTGCTAGCACAGTACACCCTCTGCCCTAGGAAGGGCCTCACTCATCCCACAAGCATTGAGTGGGCCCTCATTATGCACCAAGCTCTATTTCATGCCCTCATATTGCACATTCTATATCGAGTTGCTTTCTGGCACCTTCATGGCTACATTGGGCCCTCAAATTGTGTTTTGTTTGGCTGCACAGTGTTTTGAGCTAACATTTAAAAATCAAAACAGTCTATGTAAGAATCTGGACTTCTGACTTCTCCTGAGGAAGTAGAAGCCCTAGCGGTGCTGGGCCTCTGTCTCCACAGGGCAGTAATGAGCTAGACCTTAGTAGCCAACCAACTGTTACCTATAAAATGTCCCCATTGTCATACCTTCAAAATCTTTCCTTTGGCTTCCCAGACAACCTTTATTTCTTTTCTCCTGTTTCTGCCCTACAGAGATCCTACACAGGGAACACTGCTGCATGAAATATTTGATCACCTTGAAAATTTGCAATGACCTAGAGAGCTGGGGCAGAAAGAAATCGAGCCATGTCTGAAATCCAACAGACTTAGGCCAAGCAAGGATGAGAAAACCAGACCTGAGGGAGGGAGCTGACATGTGGAGATTAGTTTTTAAAACCTCAAAGTTTTTTTGTAGCAAAATAATTTTTTATTTACTGTTTTAAAATATCATAATAAATAGGTAACTCCATGTTCCCTTTATGGTCAGAAACAACCGAGCAGAAGCAGAACAGTTATTCATAATGGTTATGCACGTAGAGAGAACTTGAGCAATGTGCTTATGTTGTCAGTGTGTCTTTGGGAGGTCAACAGATGGAAATATGCCCCTGTGTGTGTTTGTACAGTTAGACAACCCTGTTTGCAGGGTGATTGGCAAAACATGAAGAAAGCCATTCTCCCAAATACTTCCAATAGTCACTTTGCTGCATGCAGTGCAAGTTCTGCAGAATTACTTCCAATCCCAGCATCTCAATAATAATCTCATCATTTGATTGCTTCCCACACCAGCTAGAGTGGGATAGGATGCTGATGTAGCCAGAGGAGCAGGGAGGGTAAGAGGAAGATAAAAAGAGAGGAACAGAGAACAAGGACTGCAGGGGCCACACCATGCCTCTCAGCATTCATTTCTTATCCAAATGTGTATATATTTATACTTTTTATACTTCTGAAAACAACTTAAGGCTGTGACTGAGCAGCTTGGTTCTCTCCTGCGGTACCCCCATCCCTGGTTCCTGGCACCTTAGAGTCATAATTTTCCCTTTAGATATCCAGTTCGGTCTCTCAGGTTGGACGCCTTTTATTATAGGAGAAGAGATGACTGAGGTCCAAATCCCTAAACGTGATGCTTTAATCAATAATGGAGCACTTAGTCATCCTTCCTCTGGCTCCTCAGGAGGATAATGGGAGAGCATGGGGGATGGCAGCCTCTTCAAAAATGTTAAAAACCCAGTCACAAATGGAGTGGTGCTTGCAGCAGATCATCAGGACACTGCAGGACTTGTTCTCTTTTGCCTCCCCTGTGCCCCATATGGACTGGGGGCTCAGGCCTCAGCACAAAGGCAGCATTTGTGGAAGTCAGAGAGGGACAGCCGACTCCATGGTGCTCCGTCTGCTTCTGACCAGGGAGGTTAGTACTGCTGGTAGATGGAGCACAGATGTCTGGATCCCTCTGGGCCTATAAATCCTCTTGCTAGCCTGCCTGGGAGGAAAATCCGGCCCAGCTCAAAGAGGGATCTGCACACGCTCCTCTTGTAGAGTGAGGAAGGCAAGCTCGCTTCCGCCCGTTGGCCAGTCACCTCCCTGCCACAGCTGTGCACGCCTGGCGGACTCATGTGAGTCCAGTGCTTGCTGTGGAATGCTGTGTTCATCACACTGTGATTGAGCCCTGCCTCCTCTTTGAACATGAACTTTATTTTTTTTCCATCATAAAAGTATATGTTCATTATGGAAAAATACAGGAAAGGAGAAAGAGTAAAGAACATATATAGCCTTCTGCTCTAAAATAACCCCTGTTAATGTTTTAATAATTTCCTTCCACTGTTATTCTGGTATAACTACATAATGTACACACTCTGAGACAGTATAGCTACATAACGTACACATTCTGAGACTAATTTGTGGTTACTCCTAGTCTGTCTAGCCTTATCTTTGTGTAATCTGTTCACTTTTGGATGAAACCTCCCATGGAGACTGTGGATGATCAGTTTCTCTTGCATCTCTGTTCATCTTCACCTCCCATATTTCCAAGCTATGCAGTTAGGTATATAAAGGTTCTTTATCATTGTTACAGCCTCTTGGGGCAATTATACCTTTCCTTAAAGTTAAATAATCATGTTTACTTCTTTTAATGCTTTTTGGGTTTTTTTTTTTTTTGGTTGGTTGGTTTATTGTTTTTTGCATTTTGCCTGTTGTGTTTTGTTCTCTTTCATTTTTATTTTCCCTATGTAATTTAGCTGGATGAAAATTTTGTTATGGCTTAGGGGAAATATTATATCACAGTTATTCTTGGAAAATATGAGCTTAAATGGACTGTATATATTATTGCAATGTGTTGGTGTGATTTATTTTATATAACCAGTCTCCTATTAATGGATATTTAGGCTGTGAATATTTTTATAACATTATATAACTCTGAATTGAATGATTTTTGAAGGCATTTGTCCATTTTTCTTTAAGTACCTTTCTCTTCTAGTTATGTAACATCATTTAAAAAATTGAAAAATATAGAGAAGCAAGGAAAAGAGGGTAAAGGTCATTTGTAATTGCATCTCCCCATGACCAAAAACTTCTGTTAACATTTTGGCATATACTCAAGCAATTTTTTATTTTACTATATACTTACATATGTGTTTTTTAAAAACAAAATCATAATCATAATATATGCACTATTTTAACTTGCTTTTGTCTTAACAGTGTAAAATAACCTTATAGTATGAGAATATATTTTCATGTCACTAAATATTTTTCACAGACCCAATTCTTAATGGGTATACATACTGTTTCATTAAAAGGACATACCAGTTTATTTATTTTTCTGTTCTTGAATACTTAAGTTGTCTCCATTTTTCCACAATTATAGGTGACACTACTTTAAACATCCTGAT